AAAGGGTGGGAAGGCAGATGAAGGGGGCAGTGGGGAGCCTGGCAAGGAGGGGGATAGGAAGGCAAAGCCATGCTGCTGGAGACCTGGGCCCCACCTCGGACAGAGACCTCGGCGATGCTGCGTCCTTTGTCCTTCATCTGGCAGAGGTAGATGCCATCGTCATCGGTGCGGGCGTCGCGGATCGTCAGGCGCCGCACCACCCCTCGCTCCTCCATCACGTACTTGTGGCTGGGCTGCAGCTCCCTGTCCTCCAGGTACCAGGCGGTGGGGATGGTCTCCAGCGGCACCTGGCACTCCAGCACGGCGTCCTCCCGCTCCGCCACCTCCACGTCTGTCAGCTGCACCTGGAACCGCAGCCGGTGCTCTGCTGCCGGGAGAGATAGGTGCTGAAGGTGTGCAGGGCATGTCACCCACCGGCAGCCCTTTGCTCAGGGCTCTCCCGGGCACTTCTTTGCCCCTCTCCTCTTCATCCTGTGAGGAACGGGCACTGCCCTGGGAAGCACATGCCCCAGCACAGGGGGAACCAGGGCATGGGCTGGGGACACCCAGCGATGCTCCCAGCATCTCAGCAGGGAGTTTTGGGGGATGCAGGAGCACGCGGTAGGCGTCTGAGCAGAGGGGAGCAGCGGGTGCAGGCGGGGGATGCACCAGGTGCTGGTCACCACTGCAGCGGGCTGTCCCCAGCTGGCAGGGTGGCACTGGGGGACAGGGCTGCCTCCAGTGCGGATGCTTGGAGCCGTGCCCTGCAGGGCTGCCTGCCAAAACCACTCGGCACTTCCAAGGGAATTTGTCACCAAGGCACTGTCCGCCCTCCCTTCTCATGGCTGAACACCCGCAGCCCTCCAGAGATGCCACCTCTATGCTTGCAAGGAGAGAGGGACACGGACTGGGGGACAGTTCCCCGGGAAGCCCAGTGTCCCCTGCTTCCAGCCCAGAGCTCTGTCTGGAGAAGCCTGTGGTGACCACAGCTGCACGGGGCAGGATGGAGCCCAGGGATGTCGGGCTCACACAGACACATCCCTGCCAGACAAAAAGCCCTGGACCCCCGCAGTGCCTGGCTGCGCCGGCTGCACTCGGCCACGCTCCTACCTTTCACCTGGAGCTGAACGGCGCTGAGGGTCTGGCCAGCAGTGTTGGAGGCGGTGCAGATGTACAGCCCCTGGTCCTGGGGTTTGCAATACAGCACCTTGAGGATGAAGTAGCCCTCCCGGTCCTCGTAGACAAGGTGCCTGCGGCCAGGGGTGAGGGGCTCGCCATCCTTCTGCCAGACAATCTCTGGCTTGGGCTTGCCGGTGACGTAGCAGCGAAACTTGGCATGCTTCCCTGCGCTCACGATGAACGCCTTAGCGCCCGGTACCCTGGCCGGCACTGTGCTGTTGGGCACCCGGGTC